CTATCAAAAAAGTTAAAAAAAAAACAAATCTTCAAAAACAAAATAGCATATTATTATGCACTTACGCTGCATTCTAATTACTTTTGCATGCTTTTAAACTATTTTATTTAATWTTGTTGTTTTTCGCTGATCATTTGTTTTCATATTCTGCACACTCTCTTCATCCTCGTTACACTTGAGTAACATTCGAAGAACAGAACTCAAAATACATATGTGTACCACCGACTCATTCATATAATTAACCACCAGTAGCCGCGTATTAAGCGTTCGTGCTGCCCTGTTGCCGGTATAAGTAGTTCCGTAGCTGTCAAAGATTTCCGTAGGCGTGTTTTCTATCTGTGCAAATATCTATATTTCTATRTACATATGTATGTATTTATGCAAGTGCTCAGTTAATCTCAACAAACGTACAATAAGTTTACAGTATTCGGTGATTTATGATCGATTGCCCTAATGGCCGTCAATATTTCTTGATTTCTATGTTCTSTTGAATTTTGACTGATTGTTATGCGCTGAGCTAGAAAATGTACGTACATGATTACATATCATTAATTAAGTTCTCAACGAATCGAAATTTATGTTTATGGTCATGGTTATGCATTGCGCAGRGTCATAAAAGTCATAAGGTGATTCTTGAGAGTGCATAAAATTTCGAGCGAAATTTTTTCCAGAAGCCTAAATATCACTCTCAAAATTTATTTTGAAAAATTACATAAAATCTCGATCGAAATTTTTTTCAGAAAATATGAAATGAAMTGAAAATATCACTTTTGAAATTTATTTTAAAAAGTAATATAAAATTGATGAAATTATCGAAGTTAAATTTAAAAGTTATAAAATAAAATTTTTGTCGTAAAAATTAAATTCGCATTAATTTTTGTAAGAAAATCGAACTATCAGCTGCATAAGTATAAAGCTTTGCATTAACATGTGATAAGTAACKCACGTTCTTAAAACTGATATAAATGTCTGGTAATTGTATGACTGCTACAGATATTAACTAACTTAGTGACAAAGCTTGTGAAAATATTACGAAATTTCAAAACTTAATGTACATTTCTATAGCTAACTTCAACTAAGAATAAAGAAAGTTTAGTACACTAAATGGCTGTTTCGTATATTTTTGACTAAATAACGTATGTTGTTTTTGTCTTTATTGTACAGTTATATAAAGCATTTTTAAAATCAAATAAAAATTCACCATTAATATATTTTTCGTTTTTTTTTTCTCTTATACACATCTAGATGTGTATAAGAGACAGGTGTAACTTCGAAAATGTTCACCGGAACGTTATGAAATTCTCTATGTGTATTCTTCAATGTACATATTTACTTTAAGAAAATAAAATAAAAAAGATGATAATTTTAAAAATTCAAACTGTATATAACCCCTTAAATAAATGTTTAAAGTTCATTAGCGTATACAACAAAAGTTAGGTCAATAATTTAGGGCACTTTTAAAATTCTCGAATCTGGGAAATCCGTTGAAAATGTTCGAAAGAGAATTAAAGAATTATATACAATATTAAAGCAATTGTAATTTATGCATATGAAATATTTTTTCTTTTTGTTAACACAATTTAGTCAAATAATTTTCCATTTTTTTGTCTATTCAATTTTTGTCTACTTAATCCTTTTATTACTATGCTTTTTATACATATATAATATGATTTTTGGGAATTTCTTCTTTGTGTAAATAAAGTACAGCTTAGCCGGCAATTAAAAGCTGCAAAGCTTCTAAAAGTTTTATGACGCTCTTAAACTACTCATGCTATAGAAAATTAGCTTGTTATTGTTTCAATTACTAATTGTCAAACTTGTATTTTAGTCTTGTCAATAAACCACTAAGTGCAAGTTATTTTAGCACTCTTTTTTCTATGCACACTTTCTTTAAGAGAATTTTTAAACGATTTTTATACTTTTTAAAGTATGTAGCTCTATTAAGAGAACATTTACAAATTCAGTTGAATGGTAATTTGCGGTGTTATTAATTCTTCATTTAATTATTTTGTCGTGACACATTTATTTAAATTCAATATTACAAGTTGGCAACTTGTTTTGAATAAATTCGGTTCATTCACACACTACCAGTGTTTGGATAGTGATAAGTGGGAAAATGTCGCGTTAAAACCTTTTTTGTTCAATTCATAGCTAATGATATACCGAAATAGAAAAAAAACTGGAAAAAACGTTAACTTCTGTTGCACCGAAGCTAAATACCCCTTGACAGATGCATTTCTGTTAGTAATTATGTGTTCAGTTTGTGTGGAAGCTATATGATATAGTAATCCGATCTGAAAATATTTTACGGAGATTATATTATTACCTTAAGCAGTAATCCATGTCAAATTTCGTGAAGATACCACGTCAAATGTGAAAGTTTTCCATACATGAACTTGATTCCGATTGTTCAGTTTGTATGGCAGCTATGTGTTATAGTGGTCCGATATCGACAGTTCTGACAAATGAGCAGCTTCTTGAAAAGGAAATGACGTTTGCAAAATTTCAAAAGGATATCTTAAAAACTGAGGGACTAGTTCGTCTATACAGACGGACAGACGGACATGGCTAAATCAACTCAGCTCGACATACTGATCATTTATATATATACTTTATAGGGCCTCCGACCCTTCCTTCTGGGTGTTACAAACTTCGYGACAAACTTAATATACCCTGTTCAGGGTATAAAAATTRCTGAAGATACCGAAGGCCAGCTGAGGCTTATAACAAGTGTATGGAAGTGTTTGGATAATTTGATTATTTTGAAGACGCTTATTAAAATTTGTAATAAAATTCGTAAAAGTGTAGGTTTTTTTGTCGTTCGGGGTTAAATTTTTACAAATGGTATTACTTTATAGTAGTGATAACATCATCGGTACTCTACTGATTTGTCCAGTTTTTGCGCTTGCTGTACAATATCAAATAACGTCGCTGTAGAATTATGCTGATTATAGTCGATTRACAAGGTAATTTGTCTGCCACTTACCCAGTCTTTCTAGATCCCTGTAATAAGAGCATGTTTTTTAACTGAATAAATAGAAATTTTGTATAATCAGCTCGAGGAGAGAATTTAAGGATTGTTAGATTCCTCRTTAGACCAAAAGAACAATCACTCTACATTTTTCAGTAAAAAAAATTGGATTTTTGCAATGACGTAACTTTATCTTTTCTTAATATTTTATATACAGCGTAGAAGTCAGTGTGGGAATAATTACAGAAAATATACCCTCACATGTATTGCGACAAGGGTGTAAGTTAAAAAATCCGATTTTTCTATGGAATCCGCACTGGCGCCGAAGCGATCGGGTCTCTGCACGTAAAATTKTAAAACTGTTGTTATTAGCTAAATTCTGTACAAATTTTATGTTTTTTTTATATTTATTCTTTCAATGTAGCACAATTTCCTATAATAGCCGTCGCCACTAGAGTCCCTCTCAAACAAAGCTGAATCCGAAAATTAGCCCCCAAATCGTATTAAAATGTCAATATAAAATATTTTATACACTTTAACATACATACATTTATTAAAACCCGAAATAGTTCAATTCGATTTGTTTCTCCATACTCTCAGAATAACTTTTTCCAACTTCTCTACTGCTTCAATAATTCCGGCTTTCTCCGTGGTTAAGATCTAACAAAAAAACCTCTGCTGGTCGATATTGTGCTTTCAATGACCCACAATCGAAAAAATATCAAAAGTGGAAAAAATTGCGACTTAAAAAAGCAGAAGAAACCATTTGCGATATCGATGAAAAATTTTATGATCAGGTTAGGTTAGTTAGATTAATCTGGTAGGTCAATAGCCCAGTTTTGGTTCWTTGTGATACCAGATGACGCGAATTTTAACAGACCTGYGGCCTCACTATCGATACCTTCTCAATGTATCATACCGTGGCSAAACCAGATGCTTACATCGCTTATGCTTTTGCTAATGTGGAAAAAGTGTACTATACATGCTCCATTGTTTCCCTGGTGCAGCCTTCTAGATCTGTCAGCCCAATTGTTCAGGGTGTCGCTACGATAGTGACCAATTAGAAYACCGATCATGCTTCTGTAGTCTCTTCTATCGATTGCCAATAGGARTTTTGTGTACTTCCGACTTACCGTTTTGCACATGACTTTTGCAGTGTTGCACCCAGATGGTTCATTCCATTGGATTTTGATCTTTTTTATCATGCTTTTGTCTGCATCATCGTACGTTGCTTAAGGGTTTCCCAGTGATAATCACGTTTTCRGCATATTCTTGGCAATATTGTCCACTATTTCATTGYCCTCAAGRCTGTTTGACTTGGCACCCAGTGGAAGTGAAATGATTCTGGCAGCACTTTTCACTGCCGCCCTGCTTCCCAWGACACTTCTGGCCGAAATGCGATACGAGCTTACTGTCTTGATTGCTGCTTGGCCGTCTACGTAAATGTTTACTCTGGAATTGCCTGCAGGTGCATTAGAGGGCAGGCAGCAAAGACCTCAGTTTAAAATATACTGCAGTGGTCCGGTTACTTAAAAGATTGTCTTATGTCTAAATCTGGATAGTACATTCCCGCTGAAACTGCAACGCCCATTTTCGAGCCATCCATACACATGTTTGGAGTGTTGCGCGTAGCTAACATACCTTTACGCCAGCCATCCTTTTTTTTTGTTTACTTGAAACATTCTTTCCTAATTGGAAAGTGGGTTCATGTAATCGGTGTTTTCCCAACCGTTATTACCCGCCGAGCTGTGCCCGAAGGTTCTATATGATAGACCCTATCAAAAATGGCAAAAATATATTTGCTTGATTTCYCATTAAGGCTTTTCCCTCTTCATAGCTGTAATAAATATTAGTATATTATTGCTTCTTGTTTTGCTTTGTATTTTATTTTTATATTATTTACAGTTACTGAGGTAATTTCATAATTGTTATAGCTTCGTTTTACTGTTTTTTTTGCTTCTGGCAAATACTATTACCAAATAAATACCGGTATTTACACACACTTGCATGTATGCACTGCCGATAACTTTAAAGGTGCTAAAAAATAAATAACTTCGTTGCTTGCTTACGCTAAAAGCAGCATGAGTATCACTTTGAATTTCCTATACACTTTGTGCCTTAACTCATTTACGATTACTTTTAGCCGATTTGTAAGCACAAAATGTGGCCAACACACCGAGCCCTGTATTGAGGGCGCGCACCGGTTTACTCGCCCCCGACAACGCACGCATACCCAATGGCAAACCCTTGCCACAGCGCGTGCGAAATCCATTGAAGAGATACATATTATTCGAGCTGGCATTCATGATGGCGAACTCTTTCTTCTCACCCTTGGGCACCAAGCGGAATGTCACATTCTTGGCCTTCAGTGGCGTCACACGATAGTTGAATGTGTGAAATTTACACTTCTGTGTGTCATCACCGCTTTTGGGTTGGCAACAAGGCGTGGGCGCCTTATAGCTTGGTTTCTTGGCGCATGCGCTAGCGGATTTGCCACCCTTGCCGCCTTTGCTCTTATCACTTTTTTGCGCTTTCATCCTGCAAATAACGTATAGATGCTTACATTTGCGTAACAAACTCACTACATATACACTACTTGGTAGCATAATAACAAAAGCCAATCTGCAACTAAAGTATGCATGTGTTACTTTGTGTACTCGGTTAGTGTGCGATTTGTGTGTGTGTGCGGTTGGTGCTGGGGTGCATGTGCACGCGTGCATTTGTACCAATTCCCGAATTAGTATTTGCTGCATGGCTGCTTCCTCTACTTGCCGCTTATCGGTTAGTTTACATAATGGTTGGTGATGTGCCGGCGCATAATTGCAGCTCTGGCAGCAAGCTGAACTTTAAATACACAACAAGATGATGCCATCTCCACTCTCGGTTGGAGCCCCTAAGAAAAAGTATGCGTGAGAAATGTCATATCTTAAAAACGGCAAATCTGCTTATAAAACAGYTGTTCATACTGTGTTATTGGCATGAAATACCCCTTGATGTTGGCGTATGCAAATAAGTGCGCGAACCCAGCAATAAAACGAAGTGACTCAGTACGAAACTAAGTGATTTTTGTTTGGTACGACACTAGTTCATTTTTCATGCATTGCTGAAAACTGAAGATTCACTCGGTTTTGAAACACAATTAAACATTATTTAAATTAGCTTATTATTATTTTATTTTATGGTCTGTAAAAACATATGAACTATTATAGTCGAAAAAGAAAAAATSGATAAAGTAATCTTTATTTTTTCGATTTTACAAACTGGTAAATTATTGTTGGACGAAGGAGAAAAACTGAAAATTGGAGCTTTGGCAGACATTTTTACAAAAAAAAAGAAGAAAATTGCAGTGAAAATTTCACGATATATATATTTTTTTTTTTTTTCAAAAAGTTGTTATCGAAAAAAATACTTCGTCCAAATCTTTAAGAATTGTATCTCAAAAACTTGTGTAAAATTTCGCCAAGATCGGTTAAGTAGTTCTTGAGAAGTCTTGCCAACCGACTTCAAAAACACAGTTTCGAGAAAAACGCGCTTAAAGCTGACGCAGTTAGCCTAGCTAGCCGCGAGCACACAAGTTCTCAAGTCTGTATATTCGAAACTTTTACTGGGATCAACTTGAAAATTGAGGACAATACTCTAGAGATGTTGTAGAATATAAAAAAACAATAAAAAAAATCGATTTTTTTGAAACCCGTAAACTCATGTAACCTCTTCGAAGAGTTAATGTAAAATTTTATTTTTATACTTAACCACCCTAATATTTAAATATTTTTATACTCTCGCAACAAAGTTGCTAAAGAGAGTATTA